GCAGCCTCTCAGCCATCGCAGGGCTCTTCTGTTCCCCCCAAAGAAAAAAAGCGCAGATCATCTGAATTGGAAGCGGGGGAAAAGAAAAGATCTAAGGCAAAGGCCTCGTCCACGAAGAAGGCCTACAAGGCAGCTGAGAGGGAGGCCTCGAGGAGACATCAGGCGCTGGAGAGAGTTCTCCAAAGCTCCAAAGCTCACCTCCAGTGGAGCAGAAGTGGTTTCCCCCCTTCCACTGGATCGCTCACCATTTGAGCCTCAATTTGCGCCTCCCCATGATGCCCCTAGGGCATGGTCTGCTGGGGAAAACTGGACAGGTTGGTCCCCCTCTCCTCTCCCTATCAAGCACTCAGGAAAATTTCCCCTCCCCCACAATACAACGGGATCCAGAAGCCACATATACTTCTACAACAGCTGGCATCCGCCCCACAGACCAAAAGAGCATGTGGCCAGACAAATTCCAGGCCTTTATGCACCAGGCCTTTGCACAATTTATGACCTCCTCCATGGACCAATGGCCCTTACAGATGCCCCCTTCCCCCCAGACATCCCTGCCCCAAACAGGCCCTACCCTGTTACCCAGCTCAGGCAACTCAGATACATCCTCCCAGATAGGAGAGGAGGGATCCATGGACTTTGAGACTTTGGACATACCCATGTCAGAGGATGAGGAGGCGGTTCCAGATCCATCCTCAACATCTGGTCACTTCCGGTACGGAGCGACAGCGATGGCGGCTATCTTTTAGCCGTCCAGCTGCGAAAGTGTCAGAGCCGCGGAGCACAGCGTGCATCAGCTGGTCCGCGGCTCGGAACTCCCTTCCTGGGCAAAGGGAAGGGACAGAGAGTGCAAGAGTAGAGGTAGAACCCCTGAACCCTCTCTGGATTTAATCCTAGAGGGGGTGAAAGGAGTGTTCCCTCGGAGCTCTTGCTGTCTCCGCCTCCCAGCTGTTTTTGCTTCCTAGGAAGCAAAAGAAACTGCCGCTTCTATCTCCGTGCTTATAGAGAGTTGGTGAGTAATTCCTAAAAAACGGACAGAGCAGTTTAAAGGATTTTTTCTTATATAATTTAGGTGTTTATTTTTTTTTATTTAGTTCTGACTATTTCTCCTTTTTTTTTATTATTATTGTGGAGAAGGAATTAAGATGGCGTTTTGAAAGTGACGGAGTTTTTTTTCCTTGTCTTTTGTTTCACTTTCTCCTGTTTCACTTTCTCCTGTTAAGGACTGGACTTTACTTTTGCTTTTGGTATTGAATCCTCTTTTTTGATTTTCTTTTTCTTTTTGGTTTTTTTTCTCTGGATTTTCAAGGATTATAGTGTTTTTGCTGCCTCTTTTAAAAGTAAAATTTTTCTCTCTTTCCCCCTCATTTTTTTTGGGGGGGGGGAAAGGGAAGTGAGAACTGTGTTATTTAAAATGGCTTCAAAGAGACAGCCGCCTTCTACAACATCCAAGGTGATTTCCTCTCCTATAGCTTCTACTGCACAACCACAACAACAACTTAAACATGCACCACCGGCACAGCCACCACCCTCCCCTCCTTTGCCTGGACTTTCAGCACAAGAGGCTAGAGGTATAATGGGAGAGGCTGTAGCTCAAATGAGAGAGGAAATGAAGCAACTTTCTACACAGCTTAAATCAGAAATTAAATCTGACTTCAAAGAAGAGATAAGTGGGATGAAGGATCAATTGGAAAAGAACAATAATATTTTGCGACAAGATATACTTGCAGCAGTCTCAGGTTTGGCTACAGTGGTGGTTAAGCTGAATGCAAGACTCGAGGAAGTTGAAGATAAAGTTGATTCCTTTGATGATAAAATTCAAGGTGTGGAAAGGAAGGTGGAGACTTCACAAGAAGATATTTTGATGTTTCAGTACAGGCAGATGGAATATGCTCTGAGGATTAGAGGCCTCAAGGAAGATATGAATCAAGATCTGATGGAGGTGGTTCTTACTGATTTGGCTGTGGTTTTGGACATGGACAAAGAAGAATTACGCAGAGAAGTTGAAAAAGTGTACAGGCTTAACTCTTGGATTGCTAAGCAGAAGAATTTGCCTAGAGATGTGGTGATTTATTTTACGAAGAAGTCTCTGCGTAATGAGATCATACAAGCCTTTTATAATAAAAGATTTCAGATAGCTGCCCAAGATGTCATTATACTAAAGGAAATCCCATCAAAAATTTTAAGAAGCAGGAAAGATTTTGCTTTCTTGGCTAATGAGCTTAAAGCTAGATCGATACCATTTAGATGGGAAATCCCGATGGGTATTGTTCTGAGCCATGCGGGGACACGTTATAGATTGAATACGGTTGATAAAGCTAGAGAATTCTATACTTCAGTCCTAGGTGCAGGCTCAATTTTACCTGTTCAGAAATCCCTGAGTGGCAAAGAGGCGGAGCAGCAGTCTGAGGCATTAAGTTCGGTTTCTGCTGGGATGCTGCAAGCTGAATGGCAACGCCAGACGGAGGTTAAAGAGCAGAGAATGACTCGTGCAGCTTATAAACGTAAAGAGAAGGAGCAACGTAAGAAAGAGGCCAAAGAGATTTCTCCTGGAAATGTATCACCGCCGGTGGGAGGAGCAAGACCCAAGAGTCATGCAACACATGTTGCAATTTCAGATCTCCAAGGTGTCTTCTCCAGGCTGCGGGCCAAGGGAGATGGCAAAGTTTTTGACCTGGAATGTTAATGGATTGAATTCTCCTCAGAAAAGGAAAAAAATCTTTTATTATTTGAAGCAACTAATAATGATGTTATTTGCTTACAGGAAACTCATATTTTACTTAAGGATCAGAAATATTTAGTTAATGCCCGTCTGGGATCTCACTTCGTATCTTCTGCTCCCGGGAAGAAGGGGGGAGTTGTTATTTATGTCAAGCAAAATCTACCAGTTTGTCTGGTGGAGTCTGACCCCCAAGGGAGATATGTGATGGTTGAATTGGGCTTATATGGTAAGAAAGTACTTATAGTAGGACTATATGCACCAAATCAGCAACAGGAACAATTTTATAGACTCTTACATGAAAAAATAAATCTGCTGGACTACAGATCCGTGGTATTAATGGGGGATTGGAATGGTGTTTTAGACGTACAAAGGGACAAAAAAGGCTCTTCTCCTCTTTTTAAGCAGGCAAAATTACCTAAAGCCTTTTTTGATATGAAAGAGGACTGGGAATTACGGGACTATTGGCGGGAATGTAATCAAGAGGAGAAAGACTTTACCTTCTTTTCAGATAGACACCAATCCTTCTCAAGAATTGACTTCTTTTTGATTACAACGGACTTATATAATAGAGTAAAGAATGTCAAGATTTTCCCTAGGTCTTTGACGGATCATAGTCCAGTTTGGATGGAGTTGACTCAAGAAAAAGAGGAGAGAAGATCCTGGAGGGTGAATGAGAATTTATTTAGACAAGAAAAAAATGTTCAGAAACTAAAGGAGTGTTTAAAGGATTACTTTGTTTTGAATATGTATAAGGGGACTTCAATGTCAATGGTATGGGATGCAGGGAAAGCATTTATGCGTGGGATTTTGATAAAAATGAATAACTGTCATAAGCAAAAACAGATTCAGAAACATAAAGAATTGGAAGATGAAATTAAATTAAAAGAAAAGTCTTTGATTTTAAATCCTTCTGATGAAAGTATTAAAGAATCTTTAAAGTTGTTAAGAACACAATTTAATATGTTGTTAGCAGATCAAGCTGCAACCAATTTATTGTTTATGAAACAAAACACATTTTGTAATGCTAACAAGCCAGGGAGATGGTTGGCTTATCAGTTGAGAAAGAAACAGAGACAGAGAACAATAGATAAAATAAATTACAAGGGTAAATTAGTTTCTCAAAAGGAATTGATTAAGAAATCTTTTTTGGATTATTATCAAAAATTATATAAATCTACTAATGTGCAAATTTTAGAGATAAATAAATACTTAAGTGAGGTTAGTTTCCCTAAATTGACAGAGGATCAGAAACATGAAGTTAATGGTTTAATTACTAAGGAGGAAATTTCGCTAGCAATTCAACAATTGAAACCAGGGAAAGCACCGGGTACGGATGGGTTAACAGCTGTTTATTATAAAGCCTTACTGGAGGAGATGACTCAACCATTAGGTGATCTTTTTAATGGCATTTTACAGGGTCAAGAGATTCCTCCCTCATGGCGTACTGCTTTTATATCATTGATTCCAAAGGAAGATCAAGATCTTACTTTACCTAAGAATTATAGGCCTATATCTCTTTTAAATGTGGATTACAAGATATTTGTAAAAATCTTAGTAAATAGGCTTATGAGGGTTGTGCACTACCTTGTGCATAAAGATCAATCTGGGTTCATTATAGATGGCACCTTGATCCACAAAAAATGTCTTTTATGTACCCTGACTTACAACCTAAATGTTGGAGATGTGGTTGTATGGATGCTACTTATTATCATATTTGGTGGTCGTGCAGAGAGATAAAAGCATTCTGGATTAAGATATGGTGGAATATCCAGAGAATTTTTAAAAGGAGGGTAAAATTTACTCCACAATTATTTTTGTTAGGTATAGTTACTGATTGTGACACAAAGGAGGTTATATTGATGTTAAACTTGATAACAGCTGCGAGGCTGTTAGTAGGACAATATTGGAAGAAGGAATCTTTGCCTACATTGCAGGAATGGTTTCTTAAAGTGTCTCATTTGGCGGAAATGGCAAAGATTTCGGCTTTCTTAAAGGGACAAACGCAAGAGAAATTTCTTGCTGTTTGGGATAAATGGATAAAATTCATACAATTTAAATTTGATATAAAAAATATTATATAGTTTTTTCATAATTTTTAACTTTATATATATATATATATATTCTATTTTATATTCTTTTTTATAAATTTTTTTAACTTTTTCTTTAATTAAGCCTATATTCTGCTCTGGGAGGTCCTGGGGGGGGAAGGGGGGGTTTGGGTAGGGGTGGGGGAAGGGGGGGTTTGTTGGGTAATGTTTGTTTTTTATTTGTATATGTTGTTTTTTGTTTTTGTATTGTTTCTTATTTTTTGTAAAATTTATAAAACTCTTTAATAAAAAAAAAAACATCTGGTCACTTTGACCCTTCCCTATTTAAGTCACTGCTTCTGATGGCCTGTACCACGGCCAATCTCACTCCTGAACAGGAGCCTAAGCCATCAACCCACCCAGGACTCGAACCCTCTGTTCTCAGAGCTGGTGGTCGAGGAGAAACAGATTCCATGCCCAACTTTCTTCCGCAGCACGGTGGAGAAGCAGTGGTCTTCGCTGGGCATTCTCCCCTCTCCCGGCGGGACGGAGAAAAAACTTTTCAATGTCTTCTCCTCCTCTCTCCTGGAGGTGCCACTTGTGGTCACTTCTCTTACTTCTTTGTTTTCTACCTCCACCATTCCAGGAGATATGGCAGAGGCCTTGAAAGCGGAGGAAAAAAGATTTGAGTTTTCCCTCCGCAGAGCTCACCAAGCCTCGGTGTGAGCAATCAAGGCTGCTACATCATCGTCCTTTTTCACCAGGTCGTCCATCATGTGACTCCGTGAGCTCCAGGTGCTCATTCCTCCTGACCAGGTGTGAACACACCAGACATTGGTCAAATTGGTCGCAGCGTCCAAATACGTGGCCAGGTACTCCGCCAGATCTATTGCGGCCACGGTCTCGGCCCGCAGACTACTTCAGTTAAAACAGTGGCGGGCCGACCTGAAATCCATTTGGCGCCTGTCGACTGCCCCTTATAGCGGCACACACCTCTTTGGTCCAGTCCTCTAGCCATATCTCATAGAAGGAAAGGACTAGTGCAAGGTGCTTGCACACCCCTCTAAGAGGACGGACAGGAAGCCTCACAGGACTTTTGCAGGCAACCCTTTCGTACTGGTGCCACCTGGGATTGGAGGCAGCCCTTTCGGGCTGGGTAGTCCTGGAATTGGCCCTGGAGCTCTCGATCCTTCACCTCTAGACAGGACCACCAGCAGGACTGCCAGAACCCTAGAGCCAGGGCCTAATACCAAACCAAACGTCCCTTTTGGGGCTCGGGGGGCCATCCGTACAGATGGAACAAGTGACACCATGGAATCCTCTCCCATAGGGGGCCGTCTGTCCCTATTCAGTGACACTTGGGAGGCCACCACCACAGACGCATGGGTGATAGACACGACCTCGCCCTGGAGTTCTTATCCATACCTCCAGGGTGTTTCCTACCTTGTCCCAACACAAGAAACGCCACCAAGGCAGGACTCATGTCCATGGCCATCTCCCATCTATTGGAGATAGAGGCCTTAGAGCCAGTGCCCATGGAACAGAAGGGACAGGGGTTTTACTCCATTCTGTTTGTGGTACCCAAGACCTTGGGGGGCTGGAGGGCGATATTGGACCTGAAAGGATTAAACTACTTCTTGACCTACAAATGGTTCAAGATGCAGACCCTCAGGTCCATCCTGGCCAGCATCAGGAGGGGGGATTTCCTGTCCTCCATAGACTTGACAGAAGCTTACCTTCACATCCTGATCCTCCCCAAACATCGAAAATTCCTCCGGTTTTGTTATGCGCATCAGCATTTCCAGTACAAAGTGCACCCGTTTGGCCTTTCCTTAGCCTCACGGGTGTTCACGAAGATCCTAGCAGTCTTAGCTGCCCATCTGAGAATGATCCCGGTGCACGTACAATGCTATCTGGATGATATCCTTATCCAATCCACTTCCTTCCATTCGGCCCAGTCAGACCTGAAAATCATCATCAGGACTCTTCAAGCTCACGGATTCTCCATGAACTTCCAGAAGAGCCACATGGTCCCCTCAAATCGCCTACTCCACCTGGGGGTGATCATAGACTCAAATCTGTGTGAGGTCTTCCTTTCCCGGGAATGCCGGAACAGCATCAGGACCCTCGTCCACTGTGTTGGGAGAGAGAGGGTAGTTTCTCTGGTCCAACTGTCACAACTACTGTTGTGATTCCGTGCCAGCCTGTGCTCCCAACAGCTGAGTTGGAGGAATCTGAGGAGGAGATGGAGGAGGCATTTGAAGGGCCATCAGAGCCAGAGAGAGGCTCTGAAGTACAGGACTCACAGTTGGATGCAGAGCCTGGGCCCTCCAGCCGTGTTTCTGATGAAGCTCAGCTGTGTGAGGAGCATGAATCAGACTTGGTAGAATCAGAACAGATAGTCTTGCTAATTGACGCACGCAGTCAACAGAGGTCAATGAGGCACCTCCAAAGTAAGAAGAAACGGCAAGGAGAGGCACCGCCTTAGCACTGCTAAATAAAGGGAGGAGGTGTGGGTGGTGCTGGTTGCTGAAGGCAACCGTTCGAAAACTGCGTCTTGGAATCTTGATCTGTGACTTCTCTTGTGATTGCTTGTTTGTTTTTCATTGTGTTCTTCTGGACTTGAGTTTCCTGTATTTGACAGGTTTGTCTACAATATTGAAAGGGGTTTTTGTTTTTGTTTGCAAGTCTCCAGCCTATTGCAGCAGCAGGGGTTTTGTCCTTGTGAAGTTAACAAGGACGGCAATAGGCTGGAACAGAACAGTTTGCCTTCAGCCTCACCCCCTACTATCATGGAGCAGCTACATGCTGAGAATGCCCAGCTTGCTCAGCAGCTGGTTTTGTTATCTGCCCACGTTGCTCAGCTATCTGTCCAGGTTTCTGCTGCTCCACCACCACCCAGGAGAAAATGCCAAGTGGCGAGGCCAGACAAATTTGATGGCAACCCGGACATGTTTCCTGTTTTTATGGGACAATGCCATTTGTACGTTAGTGTGAAAGCAGATGATTTCCCCACTGACCGGGATAAAGAGGGATTTATGATAAGCCTGCTTTCTGGTTCTGCAGCTCGTTGGGGCACACCCTTGTTAGCTCAATGTAGCCCATTGCTGGACGACTTTGTGGGGTTTTGTGAGCACATGCGGTTGATGTATGAGGACCCCATCAAGACTCAGACAACTACCCGACGTTTGAAAGCCCTGAGGCAAGGCCGACGCCCCCTGCAGGGCTATATCAGCGAATTTCGGCTGCTTAGCCAGGATTCAGCCTGGAATGAGGCTGTGCTCATGGACGCTTTCCAGGATGGTTTGTCGGACGAGATGTTGGATGAGTTGGCCCATGTTGAGCTTCCCCCGGACCTTAATGGGCTCATTCATCTCTGCCTGCGGATCGACGCCCGGTTGCAGCAGCGAAGAAGTCACTGTGCTACCCCAGAGATCCATGAGCCCCCCATTGTGAGTGCGACCCTGGTCCAGAGGGAGGAACCAATGGAGTTAGGTGCTGCCAGACCTCATCTATCGGTGGCAGAGATGAACAGGTGACGTTCGGGGGGGTTGTGTTTTTATTGGCTGCTTTCTGTCCCAAGAAGCGACAAGGGGCATCTGTGACAGAGCTGGTCCCGAGACTGCCCTCGGCTTCCCTAAAAGGCCTTTTGGGTCGGGTGTCCCACAACTCTGAATCACGTCCTTCTGATACTGCCCACGGACCCCCAAAACATTTGATTTTGGATGTGCGCCTGCTTCTTCCTATGTTGCCCAAGGGGATTCCTGTCCATGCGTTAATTGACTCTGGGGCCACTACGAACTTTATGGACGCAGCATTTGTGGCTAAATGGGCAATTCCCCAATGCCCGGTGGATCCGCCAATGTTAGTGGAGACCATTGATGGTCAAGTGCTTCTCTCTGGGCCAATTAAGGCTGCCATGCAACCGCTATGTATGGCCATCAGTAATCATGAGGAGGCCATTCAGTTTTATATCACCTCAGACCTGCATTTCCTGTGGTCTTGGGAATGGCGTGGCTCCGGGAGCATGACCCCCAGATCTATTGGTCTCAGAACTTGGTCACCTTTCCAAGCCTGCAGTGTGTGGACCACACCCGCCACATCTGTGCCGGTCACGTAGAGGGGGCCACGGGGGTCTCCTTACCTTCTGAATTGGCAGAGTATGCTGATGTGTTCAGCGAGACTGAGGCGGATCGATTACCCCTGCACAGGCCTTATGACTGCCCCATTGACTTAGTCCCTAACGCGCCTCTCCCAGTGGGGCGTTTGTATTCCATGTCGGACCCCGAGTTGGTTGCGTTGAGGGACTTTTTGGACAAGAATTTGGCTCGGAGGTTTATTCGGCCTTCGTCCTCACAATTATCTGCACCCGTACTCTTCGTCAAGAAGAAGTCCAGTGAATTGCAGCTTTGCTGCAATTATCGGAAATTAAATGCAACCGATACCCGCTGCCCCTCATCTCTGAACTCTTGGATCGGCTCCTTGAGGCCAAAATCTTCACAAAACTGGACTTGTGCGGAGCTTACAATCTTGTCAGAGTTCGGTCGGGTGATGAGTGGAAGACGGCATTTGGTACTCAGTACGGGCACTTCAAGTACCCGGTGATGCCCTTTGGCCTGACCAATGCCTCTGCTGTTTTCCAACACTTTATGAATGACATTTTCCGGGACTTGTTAGATCAGTTTGTGGTTATTTACCTGGACGACATCCTGATCTATTCCCCATCGCGAGAGGAGCACCATTGGCATCTCCGTCAGGTTTTGCAGCGGCTTCGAGAACATCAGCTGTATGCTAAATTAGAGAAATGCCAGTTCTATCAGATGACTATCGAGTTCCTGGGTCATCACATTTCTCCTGAGGGCATCGCTATGGAGCCGAGAAAGGTGGAGTCTTTGCAGAGTTGGCAACCACCACGTCGTGTGAAGGATGTCCAGCGATTTCTTGGGTTCGCCAACTATTATCGGACTTTCATCCCCGGATTTGCTACCATGACAGCTCCCCTTACTCAGCTCCTGCAGAAAAAGACTCGGTTTCAGTGGGACGCTCCAGAACAACGGGCTTTCCAGGCTTTGAAGGAAGCCTTCATGAAGGAGCCCATCCTGAAGCATCCTGACCCGCAACGGCCGTTTGTCGTGGAGACGGTTGCCTCCAACATTGCCATTGGGGCGGTGTTACTCCAGGCGATGACGCCCAGTGGTGCCCTCTTCCCTTGCGTGTACTATTCACGGAAATTGAATCCGGCGGAGCACAATTATACCATCTGGGAGAAGGAGCTATTGGTCATTAAAGTGGCATTCGAGACCTGGAGGCATCATCTGGAAGGGGCACGGCATCAAATCGAGGTCCGGACGGATCATAAGAATTTAGAAAGCCTGCAGACCGCTCGGAAATTGAACCAACGCCAGATCCAACAGTCTCTCTTCTTTGCAAGGTTCAATTTCCAGGTGACGTACATACCGAGTGGTCACAATCAAAGAGCGGATGCTCTGTCGAGGAAGCCCGAATATTCCTGAGCAGAGGACAAGCTTCTGCCCTGGACAGTGCTCCCTATTGAGTCTTTTGCTGCGGTGAGGGAGCCAATAGATGTACGGGCTCGGATTCGGGAGGCCCAGCAGCAGGATGGGTGGGTGGCTCAGCGAAAGGAGGAAGTGGGGCCCAATTCACCATGGACAGTCATGGATGGACTCCTCCACTATCGTGATCGGCTCTATGTGCCTGGAGGCCCGCTCAGAGGACGCATCCTCAGCTAGTGTCACGATAATCCAGCAGCGGGGCACTTTGGCCTGTTCAAGACCCTGAATTTGGTATCCCATATCTTCTGGTGCCCCGAGTCCAACATGATGTTCAGACCTACGTCTCATCATGTATTTCCTGTAGGCAAGCCAAGTCAGAGACAAGGGCCCCACCCGGACTACTGCAGCCCTTGCTGACACCCAAAAGACCCTGGGGGTGGTGTCCATGGATTTTTTGATGGATTTACCCCCGTCTTCTGGATTCATGACTACCTGGCAGAGGTACAGGCGATCCATCGATTGGTGCAGCGACAGTTGGAGAAGGCCAAGGCTGACTACAAACGGTTTGCTGATCGGTCAAGGCGGGATATGCCTCCACTATCGGTGGAAGATCAGGTATGGCTGTCCACCAGGAATCTACCATCAACCTGGCCAACCAAGAAATTAGATCACCGATATGTCGGACCGTTCCCAATCGAGGCTGTCATCAATCCGGTCGCCTAACGCTTAACTCTGCCACGTTCCATGCGGGTACATCTGGTCTTTCACAGTTCTCTGTTGGTCCCTGGGCAACCGGCGTGTCCACTTTTCCGAGCCGAACTGCCCCCCACTGCAACAACGTGACGGAGACAGTGCCCCCGAGCATGAGGTTGCCAGCATTCGGGACTCCCGTTGGGTGAAAGGACGCTTCCAGTACTTGATTGAATGGAAAGGCTACGGACCGGAGGAGTTCACCTGGGAGGATGTGTCTACCGTTCATGCTCCTGCCTTGGTGACCGCCTTTCATGAATAATTCCCATCTCAACCACATCTGGATCGGCAGACCCGGGGGAAGGGCCCTGCGGTGCGGGATAATGTTGTGATTCCGTGCCAGCCTGTGGTCCCAACACTGAGTCAGAGGAATCTGAGGAGGTGGAGGAGGCATTTGAAAGACCATCAGAGCCAGAGAGAGTCTCTGAAGTATAGGACTCACAGTTGGATGCAGAGCCTGGGCCCTCCAGTCGTGTTTCTGATGAAGCTCAGCTGTGTGAGGAGCATGAGTCAGACTTGGAAGAATCACAACAGATGGACTTGCTAATTGACGCACGCAGATGGCGTCAATTAGCAAGAGTAAGTCAACAGAGGTCAATGAGGCACCTCCAAAGTAAGAAGAAACGGCAAGGAGAGGCACCGCCTTAGCACTGCTAAATAAAGGGAGGAGGTGTGGGTGGTGCTGGTTGCTGAAGGCAACGTTTGACAACTGCGTCTTGGAATCTTGATCTGTGACTTCTCTTGTGATTGCTTGTTTGTTTTTCATTATGTTCTTCTGGACTTGAGTTTGCTGTATTTGACAGGTTTGTCTACAATATTAAAAGGGGTTTTTGTTTTTGTTTGCAAGTCTCCAGCCTATTGCAGTAGCAGGGGTTTTGTCCTTGTGAAGTTAACAAGGATGGCAATAGGCTGGAACAGAACAACCACTAGGGAAGATGGTCTCCTGCATGGGGATCGTCCCATGGGCCAGACTTCATTCCAGAGACCTCCAGTGGTTTCTCCTCCCTTTACAGAAGCGGAATATGAGTTCTTCCACCAAGAAGGTGAGGGTCCCACAACAGACACTGTCTTCCCTTCTATGGTGGACCTCATCGACAATGGCCAAGGGATCCCTCTTCAAGGAGCCTACCAGGCTCGCCTTGACCACAGACACCAGTCTGTTCAGCTGGGGCGCTCATCTCCAGACACATCTAGCCCAGGGTCAATAATCCCGTTCAGACCTGAGCCACAATATAAACTGGCTAGAACTAAGGGCCATTCACCTGGCACTTCAACACTTCTCTACCATTGTGGCGGAGAAACACGTACTGATATTGACAGACAACGTGGCAGCAAAAGCACACGTCAACAGGCAGCGAGAGACTCTATCCAAGTCCCTTATGCTCGAAGCCCACAACCTGGGCTCTTGGGCAGAGACCAACCTAAGATCCATCAAAGCAGAGCATATATATGGGGAGGCGGATGCCCTGAGCAGGTCCACAGTAGACCACTCAAAGTGGCAACTGGACCCAATTCTGTTCAGGGAGATCTCGAACAGATTCGGCCAACCCCAGTTTGACCTCTTTGCCTCTCTGAACAACTCCCAACTGCCCAGGTACTTCACCAGGTACCCATCCCCCAGGGGCAGAGGGAATGGATGCTCTTTGCAGCAAATGGCCCAGGGGGTTGCTGTACGCATTCCCCCCACTCCCACTGATTCTGGCAACCATCCACAAGTTGCTTCAGGAGCAAGCGGAGATCATCTTGGTTGTTCCACACTGGCCGAGATGACCGTGGTTTGCCTACCTCATGGAACTCTCAATCTCATCGCCATGGAGGATCCCTCCAGACCGTATCTCCCTCAGCCAGGGGGCCCTTCAGCACCCGGATCCCCAATGGCTCCAGTTGGCCACCTGGCACTTGAGTGGAGAACCTTAGCTAGACAATCCTATTTGTCCAGGGTGATCTCGATGATTCAAGCTTCCAGGCGCCCCTCGACTAATAGGATATATGATGCCACGTGGAGGAACTTTTGCCTGTGGTGCACTGGGCACCAACTCCAGCCTCTTTCTGTCACCATACCCAATATCTTAGACTATCTGTTGGAGGGTATAGACAAGGGGTTGACACCCAATATTATCCGAAGGCAGGTAGCGGCCTTGTCCACGGTGCTTACTTGTGACAACCTGGTTCCATTAGCACAACACCCAGTAGTAAGCGCCTTTCTCAAGGGGGTGACCAACGCCAGGCCACCGACGATTCACCGCTACCCCTCTTGGGATCTACCACAGGTACTGCAAGCACTGATTTTGCCACCATTTGAGCCTATCAGGTCTTGTTCATTAAGACTCCTTTCTCTAAAGGTAGCATTTCTGATTGCTATCACGTCAGCCAGACGTATTTTGGAGCTGGCTGCCCTTTCAGTCGGGAGTGACCTGTGTACCTTTTATGAGGATAGAGTAGTCCTTCGGTTGGATCCATCCTGCATTCCGAAGGTCAATACCTGGTTCCATAGGACCCAAGAGCTAGTTCTCCCAAACTTTTGTCCCAATCCAGCGCATAGGCTGGAAAGACAGTGGCATAAGCTGGATGTAGGCAGGGCTCTGCGCTATTATGTAAAATGAACCTCTGCCTTTCGCAAGTCAGAGGCCTTGTTTGTGTCTTTCCAACCTTCTTCCATGGGTCAGAAGGTTTCCTTTTCGACCATTGGAAGGTGCATTAAGGCATGCATTGCCCGGGCCTATCTCTCTCAGTCCCTACCGGTTTCCAGACGCATTACTGCCCACTCCACTCGCAGTGCGGCTACGTCAGCAGCCTGGTCTACCCAGGCGTCCATTGAGGAAATCTGCAGGGTGGCAACTTGGTCCTCTCCTTCATTCATCAGACATTACAAGCTAGACACGTTTGCCTCTGCGGATGCCTCATTTGGCTGGAGGGTGTTATAACAAGTAATTTCTTCTGGTGGAACACAAGCCCAGACTATTTCCCCCCCCTCCCTGTAGGGACATGAGCGGTTTTGGTATGTCCCACCAGTGGATTCTACACTCATCATGCTGGAGAAGGGGCATTGTCTTACCTGAACGCCTTTTCTCAGCATGATGATGTAGAATCCACACCCACCCTGAAAGGCCGTCTGGGCCTGTGTCAGAGTAGGAGGAGCCAATGCGTCAGACTTCGTCATGTTTTGCTTCGCCTTGGTCAAAAACTGGGCAAGGTCCAGCCCAGAAGGAGGCGTTGCAGATTTCTGACTTAGTCTCAACTGAGCAGGAAGGCTGAGATTACCCACTGTTGGATACTACATCATCATGCTGAGAAAAGGCGTTCAGGTAAGACAATGCCCCTTCTAGCACAATACTAAGAAAAATAACAGCTCTCAAAAGAAACCAGTATGGCTGCATAAAGAACTCTCTGATAAATTGAAAGATAAAAAGGACAAGTATAAAAAGTAGAAAGAGGGGCACATAACTAAAGCAGAATATCAGCAAATAGTCCGAGCCTGCAAAGATGAAGTGAGGAAAGCTAAGGCTCAAAATAAACTAAGGCTTGTGACCAAAGTCAAAAATAACAAAAAAAAGTTTCTTTCAACATGTAAAAAACAAGAAAAAAGGTTAAGGAAACGATTGGTCCATTAGTGGGGGAAAGTGGCAAGAAGGTGACAAGCAACAGGGAAAAAGCAGAACTATTTAACTCATTTTTTGCATCTGTCTTTACACAAAGGGAAAAAACAGACCAACCTACCAAAAATAATGCCATAAAAAACAGAATAGAAACACAAGTTAAGATAGGCAAGAAAATGGTAGGTGCGCATCTATCCAGCCTAGATGAGTTCAAATCACTAGGGCCAGATGGATAACACCCCAAGGTTCTCAAGGAACTGGCAGATGTGATCTAAGAACCACTGAACTATATTTTTCAAAGATCCTGGAGCACTGGGGAACTACCAGAGGACTGGAAAAGAGCTGACGTAGTTCTCATCTTCAAAAAAGGGGAAAAAATAGATCCAGGAAACTACAGACCTATCAGTCAATACCTGGGAGGATTCTGGAAAAGATCATCAAACAACAAACCAGCGAACACCTAGAGGCAAACAAAGTCATTACTAAAAGCCAACATGGGTTTGTCAAAAACATCATGCCAGAGAAATCTTATTGCATTCTTTGACCAAGTGACAAAATTAGTGGACCAGAGGAATGCTGTGGATATAATTTACTTGGACTTCAGTAAGGCATTTGATAAAGTAGATCACAACCTACTACTTGATAAGTTAGAAAAATGTGGGTTAGACAGCATCACCACCAGATGGATTTGTAGCTGGCTGACCAGCTGTACTCAGCGTGTGGTCCTCAATGGAACTGCATCTGCATGGAGGGAAGTGTATAGTGGGGTGCCCCAGGGCTCTGTTCTAGGCCTAGTGCTCTTCAACATCTTCCTCAACGATTTGGATTAGGGGATAGACGGGGAATTCATCAAATTTGCAGACGACACCAAGCTGGCAGGAATAGCCAACATTCCAGAAGTTAGGCTTAAGATACAGGAGGATCTGAACAAACTGGAACACTGGGCGCTATCTAACAAAATGAAATTCATTGGTGAAAAAAGTAAGGTTCTACATTTAGGCAAGAAAAACCAAATGTACAGGTATAGTATAGCTGGTATCTTGCTCAATAGTAGCAACTGTGAGAGGGATCTCGGAGTCCTAATGGAGTCCTAATTTATGTTTCATCAATTGTGGGTGATGGACTTTGGTAAAAATTTTATAAATGCAATTCAAGCAATCTACAATAAACAATCAGCAAAGATACTTATAAACGGAGACTATACAGATAATTTTGAGATTAGGAAAGGTACAAGACAGGGTTGTCCACTGTCTCCCTTGTTATTTATTCTTACACTGGAAGTGTTGGCCAGGAATATTAGACAAGATGGGGAGATCAAAGGACTGGAGATAAAAGATCAGAAATATAAATTACAAGCTTTTGCAGATGATTTGGCTTTTATCTTGGAGGAGCCTTTGGAAACAGCCACTAAATTATTGCAGAAAATAGAGGAATTTGGAGAAGTGGCTGGGTTGAAAATAAATAGGGAAAAGACTAAAGTACTTACAAGAAATTTAACAAAAAAACAGAAAGCTCAATTTGTGGAAAAAAACAAATCTCCAGATAGTTAAAACAAGTTAAATATTTAGGTATTTATTTAATATCAAAATGTATAACAATAAAAGAAGATAACTATGGAAGATTATTAAATCAAATAAAAATGGATTTGGAGAAGTGGAAAAACTTTCAATTATCACTACTAGGAAGGAGAGCGACTATTAAGATGAATATTCTCCCTAAATTGTTATTTTTATTTCAGACGGTTCCTGTTAAATTAAGTCAGAATTTTTTTGATTACTTAAATGCAACAATAATGAGATTTATATGGCAAGGGAAAAAAGCAAGAATCAAAATTAAACTGCTACAAGAATCAAAAGACAGAGGGGGCTTTGGGCTCCCTGACTGGAGACTTTATTACCAAGCCACTATTTTGTTGTGGCTTAAAGAATGGATCACACTGAGAAATAAACGACTTCTTTACTTGCAACTGGGTTGGCATGCTTTCCTTTGGTACGAGAAAAACAAAGTACATAAATACTTCCAAACCCATGCCATAAGGAATGTATTACTCTCAAAGTGGGAGATAGTTAAAAAGAAAATTTATATGAAAATACCTGAGTGGCTTTCCACAATGGAATCATTTGCATATCCAAATTTAATTAACTATGATAAACTTGTGGCCTATAAAGACATTTTAGATAAAGAAGGAAAACTTAAAGATAGGCAAGAACTTCAACAAACTAGCATTGATCTAACATGGTGGTCATACTTGCAAATTCAAACAAGATATGAAAAAAATGTAAAAGTAATGGGATTCTACAAAGAACAGACACCACTAGATAAAATACTTTTGAAAACAGATGAAAATCTGATTAAGAAACTTTATAAATTCCTGATCTTAAACAATATGGTAAACTATAATTAATATGTAATATATTATTATTTTAAAGTTATTATAATTAATACTAAGCGTTGTTAAGTAGTGAAATGAATGAGATTTATTGACTAATTTGTTATTTACATGATTATATTGCAAGTTGTTTAATAATAGAGTAATTATTAAGATTTAATATGTAAACCCGGACTGGTAGACTTGCTGAAACGATGTTATTTTGTGGGATTAATCCCACTTTTGTGTTACCCCTTTCCCCTGGTCTAACCTTTTTGTATGTTTCTCTTTATCTTATCCTTTTTTACCCTATCCTTTTATTACCTTTATAAAACTCAATAAAATATTTATAAAAAAAGTCAATAGTGTGGGGTGCTTGCAGAAAATTGGGAAATGCAGTTGCTTCAATGGAAATATAAGTTCCAAATCACATGAAATAATCATTCTATATATTATTCTGCTTTGGTCACATACTCCTTTAAGTACTATTGTCCAATTTTGGGTACCATAATTTAAGAAGGATCCAGAAAATTTATAACAGATTCATAGAAGGGCAACATGATCAGGAAAGTTCGTTAATGAAAGAAATTCAGTATGTTTAGTCTTTTAAAAAAACAAGTGGTATTTATGATACTATGCTTTTAATATCTGAAGGCATACTGTTTTGGAGTTCCTTTTAAAGTATAATCAGTCCGATAGATTCAAGCTCAAAAGATCCATCAAAAGCACAGGACCCTAGGAAATTAATTCTTTTTATCTTGCAATAAGAGTTGGGGAGATTTATCACACTGTTATTATATTATAAGTAACTCAAGGTGGTGAACATACCTAATATTCCTTCCTCTATTTTCCCCATAACAATCAGCCTGTGAGGTGTGTTGGGTTGAGAGAGTGATTGATCCATTTTTTTTATTTTGAAAAAATATCCAAGATACAAAAATGAAATTTATAAACATATATATGCAAATTCTTTCTATGTCTGTTGTCTTATGCTATATTTCTATTACTATCGATATTACACAATGTTCTCTTTATTTTTACTTTTATTATATCAGACTTGATACTATTACTTCTATACTATATTTCTATTACTAGAATACTATTAGTATTGATATACTACAGTGGGAAGCCCCCCCAGATTAAAATATTCTTTCATCTTAATATTAAAAAAGAGGAAGAATAGAATATTTCTCCTAAAGGAGAAATAGAGAAATATCTTAATAAAGGCAGAAAGCAGCCCCAGAGGTAGCAGGAAAGAGATCTCCCAAACCCTAAGTCCTAATTGTGACTCACAAATGATGCTGCCCAGTAAGGCAGAATATGTTGCACTGGGGGTCTCATGAGGGCTCGCAGTGTGCAATTTAAGAAATATTAATAGCCTGGCATGCACACTGGCTAACCCCAATTTGACATCACAAACCCTGGATGCACTAAACTAAGAGCTAAGACAGGTTCAGGAAGCAACTCTTGAAAATGGGCAGCCAGAAATTATTTTACTAAGGCAAAAACCATAGCTGCGAAGAATTTTGGGACATGTGCTTGCTTCAGTCTCACTGAAAGCTCACAGAAAGTGACATCAAACATTTAAAGGAATTGGAACAAAATATTGGATACTATAAACTTTCTACCTTCATGATTTGAAAGCTCTCCTTTTGGGAGCCACTGCGGGATCCTTTCTGCTGCCTTTATCAATGCCTTTCCCTTTTCATTAACAATTTGAGAACTTACTCTCCTATATCCTGGAAAAATAAAAGCACCCATCAAGTCTTAATCAATTCTTAATCTTGTGCCAGTAAAAGTGTATCACCCACAATTATATGGCACAAAGGGGGGATATTGTAGGAAGCCCCCCTCCCCAAATTAAAATATTTTTTATTCTTAATATTAAAAAAGAGGCAGGATAGAATCTTTCTCCTAAAAGAGAAATGGAGAAAAATCTTAACAAAGACAGAAAGCAGCCCCAGTCTTTCTTAATAGGCCTCAAGCAGAAGTCTCAAGTCTTTAGAGATGGATATTTTGTACCTATTAAGAAAGACTGGGCCAATCTATTCATAAACAAAACACTTTCAATCCCCACAACTGATGGGATTAAGAATTTACATTCTCCTCCCCCCCACACAAAAGTTCTAAGGACAGGAATGACCTTTAGGACATAATAGGATGAGACCAAACAAATCAGAACTCCAAAGCTGGAAGTTTCCTCAAAGAACATGTTTATTGGCTACATAGTATTGGCCTGGTCAAAAGTGAAACCAAGTGTAAAATTCCCTCCAAAGAGTTACAATATTACAAAGTTAAATTCCTCACCCCTGTTCTATGCAATTTGCTACGTTTCC